TGGAGTAGGTGGTAGTGGTAGGTGTGTAGTAGGTGGTAGTAGGTGGTGGTAGGTGTAGTAGGTGGAGTAGGTGATGGTAGATTTTAACACAATGTTCATAGCCCTTCAATAAGCAGATTCACTTTGGCACTAGCTAAAGTCAAACTGCTGGATTTTGCTTCAGCTAAATAACTGATCAATCAAAACTGCTCAATGATTGGAATCTTCACTTGTATCGTATCAAATTATCATACTCTACATGAATCTCATGCCTTGATATTTTTTTCACACCTGAAATAAACTTCCGCACTTTATAGAAAAGCTTTAGTTTAGTCAATACAAATAAAAGTGTAGACTACTAGTATTATTCTTCTTATTAGCAATTCTGACAGGAAAAGATTCTGCCCAATAATTACTTACTTCATATGTAGGGATTATGATGGCAAAGTAACTCCCGAGGAGGTTGCATCAGCGGCTATGTACCTGAAGGACACCTTGGGCAAGGAAGGTGTGCAAGAACTTATTAGCAGCCTTTCCAAAGATAGAGGTCAGTGAAAAGGAGTCTTTTAGTCTTTTTGGTTCTGGTGCTGTATTCTTCACTTGATTCATTTCCAGTTCTAAATTCTATGGCAAAACCTCACATACACACACACACACACACCCCTACTGCAATTTCTTTGTTTTACAATTATTAAATTTAGACAACCATTGAAGACAACGGCACCCTTTTATGTTTTTGCCAGCCTTTGGGATTGGAACTATTCAGTGTGTTTGGTTTGAGTTTTCTGGATTAAGTTTTTTGAAAATTGAGTTTTCTAGTATTCGTGTTTTTTTGTTTTTAATGAATATTTTAAAAATTTTAAACATTTTTTTTTACTTTTTTAGATGCACCTTACTTAGATGTATCTAAAAAGTAAAAAATTTGTGAAAAAATATTTTAAAAAATTAATAAATACATAAAAATACAAAAAATGTACTGAATTCTTGTATTTTTTTTTTTGTATTTTTGGTATTTAGTGAATTTTTAAAAGATTTTTTTTACAATTTTTTTACTTTTTAGGTGTATTTATGTTAGGTGTGTCTAAAAAGTAAAAAAATTGTTTAAAATATTTAAAAAAATCAGTAAAAATAAAAAAAACACGAAAAATAAGAAAGTAAAATTTTCTGAAAACTGTTTTTGAAAAAATGAAACCAAACAAGCTAATTGCAATCCAAATCTCTCCCCTCCCTGCTCTCCACCATCCACGGAAACAAACAGTTAAGAATGAAACACAAAAAATTGAGAGAGAGAGAGAGAGAGAAGAGAACCAGAGATTTACTGGAAGAGAAGGCACAAAACCTAATTAGGTTTTTTTCCTCTCTAAACACATGTATTTATAATAATAAGGGAATAAGTACAATGACACTATTACCCTCAAGCATATAATTTAACACTCCCCTCAAGTTGGTGCATAGGTATCCTCATGCCCAACTTGCATACAATAGAATGAAACCCTTCACTCCCTAACCCTTTGGTAAACACATCACCTAACTGATCTTTTGATCTTTAGAAGTGACAAGACAAACAAATGATGCCACTATACACTTTCTCCTTGATAAAATGTCGACCAATCTCGATGTGCTTAGTTCTATTATGCTGAACCAAATTATGAGCAATATTAATAGCAGCCTTATTATCACAATATAGTGGCATGGGACAACCACTCAACAATCCTAGGTTAGCCAATAAAACTTTCAGCCACATCAACTCGCAAATACCATGTGCCATGGCTCGATACTTCGCTTTTGCACTTGATCTGGCAACAACGGACTGCTTCTTACTCCGCCAAGTGACCAAATTTCCTCTAACAAATGTGCAATAGCCTGTGGTAGACTTCTTATCATCAATAGCACTAGCCCAATTTGCATCGGTGAAGGCCTCTAACCTTAGATGACCATGATTGGAGAACAAAATGCCTTTTCCAGGCGTTGATTTGAGATACCTTAAGATTCAATGAACTGCATCCAAATGTCTTGTCCGAGGATCATGCATGTATTGGTTAACAATGCCAACAACATATGCAATATTTGGTCTGGTATGAGAAAGGTATATCAGTTTTCTCACAAGCCTTTGATACCTCCCTTTGTCCACATATTCTCTCACTATTTCTAAGCCTGTGATTAGCCTTAATAGGAGAATCAACAGGCCTACATCCCAACATGCCTACCTCCTCAAGTAAGTTCAAGTTGTACTTCCTTTGAGAAATAAAGATGTCCCTATCTGATCTAGTTATCTCAATTTCAAGAAAGTACCTTACGGATTGGAGATCTTTAATTTCAAATTCCCTAGAAAGTTGAGCTTTGACTTTGGACATTTCTTCTTCATCATTGCCTGTCACCACAATGTCATCTACATAAGCAATAAGTACAATGATCTTATCTCTACACTGTTTGATGAACAAAGTATGATCTGTATGGCTTTGCTTATACCTAAATCTGAGCATCGCCTTCAGGAATCTGTTGAACCAAGCTCAAGGATATTGTTTCAACCCATACAAAGCTATCTTTAATCGGCAAACCTTCCTCCTCAGTGGCTGGAGGAAAAAACCTGGAAGAACATCCATATACACTTCCTCTCATGAAGAAATGCATTCTTTACATCTAATTGATGTAATGGCCATCCCAGAGTTACTACATAGGAAAGAAGAACACAGATGGAATTCACCTTGGCCACTGGTGCAAAGGTTTTCTGGTAGTCAATGCCATAAGTCCGAGTGAACCCTTTGGCAAGTAGTCACGCCTTATATCTTTCAATGGTTCCATTAGCTTTCTGCGTGACAGTGAACACCCATTTGCACCCCACAGGTTTTTTTTCGAGTGGTAGAGAAACTAACTCCCAAGTGCCATTCTTACTCAATGCTCTCATCTCCTATGCCATAGCTTCTTTTTGCTTAGAATCATTAAGATTCCAACCCTGCGGAATAGAAACAGAAGACAGAGACAAAACAAAGGCATGGTACGATGGAGATAATGAGTCATATGACACAAAATGAGATATAGGATGTTGAATACAAGATCGAACTCCTTTCCTAATAGCAATAGAAACATCCGAGTCATCAACTTCATGAATATCACTAGCAGGGACAGGAGAATTAGTAACCAATGACTCATTACCTGAAACTGGAGATGAAGATGATTGACATGGCAGCACATCAGGCACCTGTTCCCTTTGTCGTCGAGAGTAGGTCTTGAGATCAGATCTATCCAACCGACGAGACTCCCCTTGAACACAAGACTCCCCCTGAACACAAGGACTAACCTCCATCTCACTACATGGCTCACCCTCTCCCTTACTACATGGCTCACCCTTCCCATCACAACCACTAGAAGGAAAAATCATAGAATTCGAGAAACCAATCTCTTCTGGAATCGAAACCTCCCCCTAAAGAGATGATTCCTGTAAGAATGGCTTAGACTCACAAAACGTAACATCCACAGAAACATAAACCTTGCTAGTGTGACGGTTATAACACCAATAACCTTTTTGATTAGAGTAATAACCGAGAAAAATACACCGCAAGACCTTGAGATCAAATTTGCTGCGAATGGAACGAGGGGAATGGACAAAGCAGACGTAACCGAAGACCTTAGGTGGAAGGGAAATAGGGGAACAAACATCCGGGGAAGAAGGTCAAGAAGGCGTTGAAATTGGAGGACACTCAAAGGCATGCGGTTAATAAGATATGTAGCAGTAAGGACCGCATCACCCCAGTATGGTTTAGGTACATGCATTGTGAACATAAGAGCACGAGCAACCTCAAGAAGCTGACGGTTCTTGTGCTCAGTAACACCATTATGTTCAGGGGTATCGATGCAACTGATTTGATAAAGAATGCCATGGGCTTCAAGAGGCCCGAAATGCACCATCAATATATTGAGTGCCATTGTCACTTCGGAGGACTTTAATGAGGGTAGCAAATTGAGTAATTACCATCTTATGAAACGTCTTAAAATATGAAAAAACTTCATTTTTGGTCTGAAGCAAGTAAACCCAAGTTACACGAGAATAGCAATCAATAAAAGTGACAACCGATAGCCAGATACATACATAATACGAGACAGATCCCAAACATCAGAATGAATAACCATAAAAGGAAAAATACTTCTTTTATTAATAGGAGAATAAGAAGAATGTTTATGTTTAGCAAACACACAAGCATCACAAGGAAAATTACTCTTATGACAATCTTTTACTGAAGTAGGAAAACTTTTTTCTAAAACAGAAATAGAGGGGTGTCCTAAACGCCTATGCAACTGATGTAACAGTGGAAGGATGGAAGTGTCAGTTGCTTGAAGAGCCTAATGAACAGATCCAAGGGAAGAAAGTCCAACATCCAAAAAGTACAGGCCCCATGTGCTTTACCATTGCTAATCGTTCTCCTCGTATCCAGTTCCTGAAAGACACATGCCTCGTTTGGAAAGTGGCTACTTTTTAAGCTGTTTGGCTATTTGGCTATTTTAGTTTGTGTTTGGGAAGATGGGTTAAATTGTTGTATTGAAAAATGTGTTTGAAATGATGTGAGAAAGGAAATGACAAAATTACCCCTAATGATTGAATGATTGGTGTGATTTTCAAAAAATTTCAAGGGCAAAATTGTCTTTTCGCATACCTGGCAGTGTACTTGGCAACCTTGCCACAACTTACGTGACCTGGCAATGTACCTGTTGCAGATAAGTTTTGTTTGCACATTTTTTTCTTGGCTGTTTTCAATTTGAGGCTATTTTAGCCTTCAAACTCACTTGCCAAACGCCTCCAACAATTTAGCAAATTGGTAAGATGACAAAGAGAGTAAATTAGTAGAAAACTGGGGACCATGAAGAACGGAAGGAATAGAAATAGAGGAAGAGCAATGAATAGAGCATGTCCTAGACACAGAAGATAATGACCCATCAGCAACTCTTACTTTATCCTTGCCAGAACAAGGAGAGTAAGAGTGGAAAAGATGAGACAAACCTATCATGTGGTCAGTAGCGCCGAAGTCAATGATCCAAGGAAATGAAGGAAAAGAGAAAGCACTCAAGGCACTTGTAGGAATACCTGTGGAAACAAAGTTAGAAGTAGAGAGGATCAGAAGCAGGGACAGAGGAAGAATCAAGTTGAGTCATCAGATGCCGAAAAGTGCAACTCATCATGGGAAAGTGTAGTAGAATCACCCTGGGTGCTGGTAAAAGGCTTAGAGAGATTGGCATGGGAACAAATAGCGCCACCACGTCCACTAGTACCACTACGGGCTCCACCCCAGCCTCGAGGAGGATGACCATGTAACGTCCAACAATGTTTCCTATCATGCTAGTCTTTCCCACAATAATCACGGGTAATTTGATCACGATCAACACTAGTACCTTGTCCCAGACTTGGAGACATGGCCATCCTTTAGAGCAGAAGAAACAGCGAGAGTAGAGCAATCTTGGAGAGTGTGATGAACTATTACACTACACCTGCTCTCTTCATGCTGAACATAAGCATATGCCTCATGTACAGTGGAAAAAAGATCTTGGCCAAGAATGTGAACATGAATTTGATCATACTCAATGTAAGACCAGCAAGAAAATCATAGAACCTTTCCTTGGACACCATCAATTGAAAGATAGTAGCATCTTGAGAACAAACAGTGTGGAAGTTCTGATAGTAGTTGAGTTCTTGCTACAAACTGCTCAACTGGGCATAGTACTTGACAAAGGACCTATCCTTCTTATCAAACCCCCATATTTTCTTCTGCAACTCATAAGCCTGGGCATCATTACCATGTTAGGAATACATCTGCGCAGCAGCAGTCCAAATCTCATGAGCGGTATACATCAAAACAAAGGAGTGGCTAATACTGAAGTGTATAGAGTTAATGAGCCAAGTCATGACAAGAGCATTCTCTTTTTGTCATTTATCTCGGGCTGGTCCATCCTCCCTGGGAGCCTTAGTAATCCCCTTGATGTAACTAGACATGCCACGAGCAGTAATAGCCAATTGAAAGGAACAGGACCAAACCAGATAATTGGTACCATCCAATTTGACCAAAGTAAGCTGGAGAAAGAAATTATCACCAAGAGAGAGATTGGAACCAGATTCTTTCACTTCGCTGACTACAGGGGTCTTACCATCATCTGCCATGGCCTAGAATAGTGCTAGCACACCCAACAAACAAGACAACCATAGATATCTATCAAAAGGAAATTGTTGCTCAATAGAAACAGCCCAACAACATTAAAGAAGGACCAGAAAAACCGTGGCTGAAGCAAAGGAGCAACACGCAAACCCTAGAGAAAGCTCGACTGCTCTGTGAAGCCAAAAAACAATCAAAAACCATCCAAAAGCATCAACCGAAGCCAAAGAGCATCCTAGGGCATCTGGTCGGCTCCCATAGGTGTGGACCCAAGCAATGAATCGATCAAATAATTGACAGAATGAAAAAATCATAAAATTGGACCTATTTTTCCATAAAATAAAGAAAAATCGAAAATATAGGCAACCAGAAATCAAAAAAATTTGAAACTGTTTTTGGTGAACCCTCCACCCTAGTCGTTCATGGTGGTATTTATTTATTTATTATTTTTTTTACATTATCAGGAAGAACAGAAAAAAAAAAAAAAAAAGAATAAAAGAATAACAAAAAATTCTTTTGCTCTGATACTATGTTAAGAATGAAACACAAAAATTGAGTGAGAGAGAGAAGAGATTTACTGGGAGAGAAGGCACAAAACCTAATTGGGTTTTTTATCTCTCTAAACACATATATTTATAATAATAAGGGAATAAGTACAATGACACTATTACCCTCAAGCACATAACCTAACACAAACACAGTTATTCCTTAAGATGAAAACAGAAAACAAAATATATGTGTTTAGAGACCTAAAATTGAGTTCTAGTCATTGGGTTGGGGGAGATTATGTGCTCACATTATCACCAACACCGTCGCAAGGGCCAACATAATTGCCACTCAGGCGAGGGTATACTGCCCAGGTCCAAGGACCAGCTCCCCGGGCACAGCCCATAAAGGCCATGACTGCCACACACAACTATCATATCCTCATGTACAAAGCATGAATATAGTTTCCAATGCTCCACAAAGCACATAGCAGTAATGGCCATACAAGATAAAATCAAATTTCTGGAATTCCAACCTCTGAGGTTGTTTGAAAACTCTCATTAGAGAAGCCTTCATTCCTCCCCACAGGTTTCTGAGGGCTTTACTTTTAAATAAAAATAATTGTCTGATAATATAAAGCCCTAGGTTGCTAATGTATATAGGTTTAGGTTTTCCCAATTAAATTACCGAAATCCAACTAGGGTTTTCTTCTAATTACAATGAGATTAAGAGTGATAAAGCCCTGTTAGAGTTGCCAAATTTTTGAAAATTTATTTATATCAAGATCAGTAATTAATTTTAAGCAAAATTGAAATCAAATACAAAATGTTATTTTATCAACAGAATAATTATTAAGCATTATGGAAAATTCTGGTGTATTACACTATTTCCATGACTCGAACTCACACAACAAGGGCACTAATGACAAGCCTTTGCCATTGGGTCAGGCCACCCTTTCTTGTGTTCCATTTACTATATGAAATTGTAATGGATTTGTTGCAATCTTTAGTCCTTGCTTAATATCCTGGTTAACAATTTCTCTCTGATTTATGAATACCTTTATATATTTGTTTAATTTTTAATTCTGCAACAGAAGGAAAGATCCGTGTTGAAGACATTGTCAAATTAGGCAGTCGTGCAGAAGATGCTGATACAACTGAAGCAGGAAAAATATAGAGGGAAGACATACATCTGAAGTTTTGGTTCTCATTCAACTCCGATTTTCTGGTGGAGTTGATTGTCTGTTTTTTTTTTTTTTTCTTTTTTCTTTTTTTATAAAGAAAAGTTGATTGTCTAAGTGTCAATTTTTAATTTACCTTATAGATACTTAAGAATACCTTTGCTTCATGTAACAAAAGAAGTTGTGATTCTTTTAAGAAGCAGACGATTGGGCTGCATTTGCACTTTTTACTGCTATTTTGGGTTTGCATTTGTTACTGCTGTGAAATTTATGGCGACAGAACAGAAAATCAAATGTGCATGCATGTCAAAATGTTATTTTTTTAGGTAATTTGGAGTGTATATACATTTCACAATGTCAAGGCTTTGTTGTCTGGTTTTTTAATTTTTTTTGAAGAAACTAGTTCTTATATAGTTAGATATGACAGAATCTGCTTTCCTCGAGAGATTTACGTTATTATATAATAATGTGGGCAGATGGACATCTTGGTTTCCCAAGCTTGATTCTGATCTATTTCTCATAGCCCCAGTTTATATCTTGAGATAATATTGGTGACTTTAACTTTTCTAATTTATGTATTCTTCTGATTGTTTATTCGTTTCTATCTTTTCTTGTTGGTAATTTGATTTATTTCTTTCTTTCCTGGGGAGGGGAGCCCCAAAAAAAGAAGCTTTACACGTTCCTAAAGTACCAGAAAGTGATTAAATGAGCAAGACATGGAGCTCACTTTCAGTGTACGCGTTCCTAGCAAAATAATAATGAGCTAATATTAATAACAATTTTGCTAGGAATCCTAAACCCTAGGAACATGAGTATAACTATCTAAAACCATGCATTCACTGACAATGCTAAATATATTCAGTACAGAGACAGTAAACAAAGAGTATAACATTGCCACATGATATATTTTCAATATCACATTCAAAATGCCAATTTGCAAGCCAACAACATTATAGCAAGGCCCGAGCGGGGACGTCCCCCAGGGTTTTGATCGGCCTGGTGAGCAGACTGAAGGGCCTCTTTATCACCGAGTCATCGCCCAATTTTAAATAGACCAAAGATGATAAAACAAATACACAATATAGAAGAGTTTTCAGATAAACACCAACTGTCCTAAGACTTAGCTTTCAATTTCTTGGAGGATGGTTTAACAAACTTCAGAATAATAATCTAAGCGTCTATCACATATAGTCTATAATAGAAAGTACACAGATATCACTCCAGATTTTAACCATATATATAGTAAATGATAATAGTAAAAAGTAACCATGTTGACAGAGCATCTAGCAGGCAAAATAACCTCTGCCAGCATAGAATGCAAGGTATGAAAGGATGCTGAATGAAAGATCTGAGATGCCGAGGGTTTAGTGGTTACTACTCTTCTTTGCCATTTTTCGCCTCTCCTCCACCTTTCAAGAATTGCATGAACCAATAAGCAGAAGATTTCAAGTGCCGAGAAAGCCCATTCTTATAGTCCACATAAATCAAGCCGAATCGCTTGGTATAGCCACAACTCCACTCAAAGTTATCCAGTAATGACCATGCAAAATAACCCCTCACATCTGTTCCATCCCTGTTCATGTGTGGCATACAAACAATGTCATCATTTATAGAAGTATAGAAGACAACTGTGCGAGGATAGAGGCACGTTCACTCAAACATTCACCCAGACGTGCACATGCAAACAGAAAACCATTGCAATAGATACTTAAACCAATGATAGCAGCATCAAATGCCCCACTTTGACCACATTCATGAGCATGGCAAGGCAGAACCTCCACATTGGTCCAACCATTGATCCATACAAATTTAATTGTTGAAAACAATAATATGAACAATATCAGCATCAATAGAAACCTCCTTTTTTCTTTCTTTGATCAGGTTTTGTTGACAACACACCCATATCCCAAAAAGGACAAAATAAAAAAAAAAAATTAACAGTATGCTAATGATGAGCACTAGTCTTTCCAAATGACGTCATCTTCAGACCTGTGCATGCATAAGCGTGATTCAAATACAAGCATGACAAGACATTGGCTCCTCTACCAAAAAGTTTTTTTATTTTTTATATTATTTTAAGAAAGATGAGAGTTCAGGTCATCTGATTGCAATCTCTAACCAGTCATCAATGAAAGCACCACACATCAAGACATGGATGGACTCAATAATTGTTTCACTGCAGAGGTATTTTATAAATCCACCTGTTATATTTCTTGGGAGAAAAAAAAAGGCAGTACCCTCTGTATAGTGACTAGGCAAAATGAGATTTGAAATTATCTGGTCAATAATGGCAGTAATTGTCAAGGTCTCAAAATCAAAGTTGATTCTAGAGGAGATTGAAATCAAAGAACTGAACATTAATGCATGTGGAGCACTGAGCAGGCATCACCAGGAAGTAACAGCTATGAAATCTGCATATGTTTAAAACAAATGACATTTCGTAACGGTTACGCACTTAATTGCCTGAGAAACAGCTGCAAGGTAGCTTTTATAGTAACAAACTCTCAATTTGTCATCTAGCATCTCATGGAGAGGGTCACTGTCATTATCTTCATCATCCATACCTGTATATGGTCAAATATTATATAAGTAATAAAGCCAAATATTATACAAGGAATTATAGAGTTAGTTAATTGACTAATAATGAAGTTATTTTTGACCATTTACAGCATATCTTAAGATTAATTACCTCTTAATCATACTTCCAAACATACTACTAAAACGAATGCAACTCTTCTGGTTCAGTTTTTTCTCATTTCTAAATGACCTAGTTTTCTTATTTAAAAACTCACACATATGAGCAAAGCAGCACTCTAGTTCAGCCTTTTCTCATTTTGCTTTCCTCATTTCTAAAATTCCCTAGAGTTTTTCTTCTATACACTTGCACAAACACGGTTTCAAATGTTATGTTATGAAGCACATCTACGGATATGGCGATACACAAAATCTAAAGAATTAGAATACGGGTATGTCTAGGATATGTTTGTAAAAAAATAATTTTTATAATTTGTTGTACTAAATTACACATAAGCTCAAAGAATGGTGATAAACCACTGTAATTTTCTAATGATATGCTAATGTTTAGAAATTAGGTATTTAGTTTTGGAGCCAGCAGCCAGTTTATTTTTAAATTTTCAATAGATACTATTAAAGTACCATTTCAATATTACATCTAAGTTGTTTGTGTTCAAATAAAAAAACAATCCACAACCTGCCCTTATGATTTTCCCTTTTGCACAAGTGGCGTATCATCTGCAAAATGTTTTATGCAAGTTCACTCTCTTGTTTAATTGTTAAAATCCGATTTATTATATTTTCTTATTGATCCTTACTGTTAAGTTACCAATTTTCTCAAAAGCCTGAGCTGTTAGGAAATGGGCCCAACAACTTATATCAAACTATAAAACACCCTCCTTCACATGCAACCCCGTCTTACATGCGGAGAGAGAAAACAAAGAGACTTGAACCCAAGATCTCTCTCAACCTAAGCCTTGATAGCAAGTTAAGTTACCAATTTTCCCAAAAACCTAAGCTGTTATGAAATGGATCGAACAATGTGTATCAAACTATCTAACATTTACTTACTATGAAGTATGGATACAGACACTGAACAAATATAACACATTAAGGATACATCAATTTGACAATTTTGAACAAGTATTGTGCTTCTTTAATCTTATTATTTGTGTCTTCTTTAAGAAATAAGTAAATACTGAAAAACTAATTTTGTATTTGTCCTAACAATTAAATTCTAAACATGTGTCCATCGCATACAATGCAAGTATGCAGGAAATGGCTGCAGAAGGATTTTCATCACCCGATCAATGAATCAAAATTAAAATATCTCTTGCCCTTCTAGGGGTTACCTAAACAGTTTAACCAAACCCTTTATTCCTTGGCCATTATTTATGTAAAATTTCTTTCGCTAGATCTAATAAGTAATCATCAAGAAAATTCATGTTAGAAACTAGCGCATTCATGGTGAAGGATGATATCATATAATAGGTGTTATAATACCATAATTCTTTTGGTGGGTCGATGACAAGGGATTACCATTCTCGGTAACATAAATAGGGGGATTGTTGTATCTCTGTGCTATGTAATTGAGTACTTTCCTGATACCCCAAGGAACTACATACAGCCATGATGATGCTGCCTGCCAGGTGTAAAATTTTTCAGCAAACTGAAATAATTAAGTTGTGCACACACTCATCAATTGCATACATGCCCATGAAAGATAGAAAAAATATATACATATATATTTGATGATATGTACCTTGTCACCAATCATCTCCCCCCCATCCCACTCAGCTGATGATAAAAGAGACAAAAGGGGAAATTAAAATTTACAAACTAAGAATGATTTGAAAGCAACTCGTTATGTTGTTCATAATTACCTATTCTCTCCACCTCTTGTGCTTTATAAAAACAATTTTCTCCGTGGTTCTTTGTATGAGCAATAAACCTTGAGGTATAATGATTCAAACCAATGAAGTCCACTGAGTTCCTGAGCAACTCTTTATCTTTTTGAGAGAACTTTGGAAGCCGGTTGCCAAGTATTTCACGCATGGTTTCAGGATAGTCATCATAAAATATAGGATCCAAGTACCTACAGCAGTAGTTGTGATTAGCGATTATGGTAACAAATAATGGGATATTTTGAATAAGTTCTTTTGTGTCACTATTAGTCAATGAATGAAATTGAATTAAATTGGTCATTATTTCCTCACCATCAACGTTTCATACTTGGCTTCCTGCTTCTACTTAATTATAAAACGTGTGCTCGTCTTAATTATCCAATAACCTCCTATTTTGACAGGTAATCCTTGATGTAGGACAACAACAAAATCAAAAGCAACGATATCCATAATATGGTGAGGAAAGTTTGTGGAAGCAAATGGTACAAATTGTAAGGTAGGGTTTAAATAGGCTGGGTTTTGAAAGTGATAGTTGCTGGAATAGCCACCAATTGATGGTTTGGAGAATTACAAGTAAAACTTGGAAGATAGAAAGACGGTTACAGTCATAAAATGTAGATTTAGATAAAAGAAAATTAAAAAAATTCACCAAGGGACGAATGATAATGGTAATTAAGTTGGTGCATCCTAATCTTCAGGCATTTACACCAACAATCCCTGACTTATCCCACCCATTATGGTTGGATCACATAATCTTTCAGGAACCTTAATAACTGCTTAAATATCTCTCTAGTATTGAGAATACATAGATGTAGATCGGCTACTAGTTTTCTCATTATTCTACATAGACCAGGACTACAATTTGGAAACTTCAAATTTAGAAACTGACTCGTTAAATCAAGCTCACCTACTTGAGGTTGCAAAGGTTCATTATAACAAGTAAATTCCCCAGTTGACAAAAGAAATCCGTCACAATTACAACTCAGGAGGTAATACAAAATCGTTTAATATGATAGCATGTGAATCTCTTTTGCATATCACTTGTTGCTTGTAAATCACTTCTATAATAAATCTTTGATAAGGTTGGATTATCCATGCTTATTTCTTATGTAAAAGTTCTAAATCTTCAGTGTATTTAATGTCATTACAATTGTCTTTAAGGAAACTTTACTAGGTGGGAGAAGCTTGGATGCCAGTTCTCCCAACAAGTTGCTGGTCGGGATCGTGGAACTATCACTCGAGAAGTAAGCTGGTCCTTGTTTCGTTATAAGGATAATCATTCTTATTAGGTCAAGGGCAGCCGGACTGATGGTTACCCGTGATTGATAATGGCACAACCAGAAGAGGGGTAGGAGACTGAAGTTTCCCTATTACATTACTTTTTCATGATTCTGCTTCTGAAACTTGAGAAGCCACTGCAAATTCAGTCCAATATTACAGCAATACAAATAAATACAGGATTATCTATTACAAAACAATGCATTTCATTTTATTCTACTGTAGGAGGTACGCAAAACAAGCAATTTTGAAAGAGCACTCTAATCAGAATGCCCAACTCCCAAACCAATCTTTCATGTGAGAGGGAGGAGCATATGAGGCGGGCTTAGTTAAAAGGTGCCCCTCAATTAAGGATAATCAAAACTTACAAGAATTTTATTTATTAGAGTTATTAGAAGTAATAGACAGTTGCAAGTGTTGGTCAACATTCTACATCCCTAACTCCATTCATTCTTCATCCAGCTTGGAAACTTGATCACTACATTATAGTGAGAAGACAAAACATAAAGAAGAGGCTCTTTCTTGTAGTATAACAAGGTATTTCAAACTATCCAAAGCTGGCCTCTTATCTACTGCTTGTCAGAGTAAAAAATGAAATTGCTTCTTGAAGTGCCATTGTAAAAGTATTAACTTCCTCAGATTTAACTTCTAAGGTGGTTTTGATCATTGTGAACTTTTAGTCTCAGAGAGAGAGAGAGAGAGATGCCCATATTTAAATGTGCTTATAAAACATACACATTTACAAAACACGGGTACGCTTCTTGAGTTAAAAAATAACATTTTGCAGATTCAAGTTCTATAAAATTGTGGGAGATTAAACCACACAACATTGAAAACGAAATCAAATTTTTACAGTTGTAGCGAAACATTCCCATAAAATTGCCTTTCAGTTGAAAAAAGCAAATCACATCAGCATTATAAAGATATTTCACTAAATTCAATCCAGCAAATTGCACGTAAAAGACTGCTATTTGAAAAAAGTTCACTCTGTATGTAAATATGTTTATAAACGGGACTATTATCTATGAGTTTAGCAACCTAAAAACAGAAGAGCCAACTTAAGAAGGAATACCATCCAAGTTGAAAATCAAGACGCCTCGCCGCAGCCTTTTTATCTTCAATTTTGTCGGATAAAGCCTCAGCCCATTCACAATCCACTACCAAGCCTATTTGACCTCCTTGCTTGTCCTATGGTGTATTCACACCACAAACATTAACAACAAGAAGAAAAAATATTATCACCAACTCAAATCCTGTTGCATGAAGTAGAAGTGAGGGCAGGAGCAGGAGAATGGGAAGGGGGGATAGCAGGAGAATGGGGAGGGGAGAGAGCAGGAGAGGGGAGTGAGGGTGAATGTGTCCTTACTTGAAGTGATTGTTCAGGGTTTGGTTCTCTAAATTGCAATCACTAAGTTCTTCCTTAATTATGATTGACCAGCATAAGGTTTGGTTGACCAACTTAGTTGACAGTTGACCAAGGTAGATTCCTTACTGTTAGTTTGACCTTGTTTACCTAAGTGAACTTACCAAGTCGTGGTGATATTATTGAATATTCATTTATGTACTTCACCAAATGATGCCCTTGCTAAATGTTCTCAAATAAAGATAACTCAATCAATTACAACAATGGAACCAACACATTTAATCACACATTCATCTCACACATTCAAAATAAGATATATAAAGTAAAGAGCATGAACCGTAAAGAGAACAAACACAGATTTATAGTGGTTCAGCACATCCCTTGTGCCTCGCAAGTATTGACTCCAATAATTCAATGGGTTTTCCCTAGGTTCACTCAAAATCTTTACAACTATAGGTTTTTCCTAGGACAACCTAAAACATTTACAATCAAATAAATATAACATCTTGGATCAATCCTAAACCATTTACCTACTACACAACCAAGAACACACTTAGCAAAAGGGAAATTCTATTTGCACATCAATCATTCTCTCGGTACACACAATTGTTGAGTTCACACCATATTTATTTTTTTCTTTTTTTTGTTTGTATTTTCTCAATCCACACCAAATACTACCTACAATACCTTTTATCTTCAATTTTTTAACCCTAACCCTAATTAGCCACCACCTCCTCCCCTCTCAGTCACCTCCTTCCCTTCAAGCTGCCCTTTATGACTCATGAATCCCCAGCGCCACTACAGCAACCCTCCCACCACCGCGATGCCCCATCTTCATCACCCCCACCCCCTCACTTCGCAATGTAACTCTCTCTTTCGTTGTCAGTTGGATGTGTGCCCATCAGCGTCTGAGGGGTTTGCACGGGTTGCAGGGGGTGGGCATCGCGACAGTGAAGAGCAATGGGGGTAGGTGGGGAGGGTTGGGGGGGGGGTCGTCGAAGGAAGGGGGGGTTTTTTTTTTGGACTTTTTGCGACGGTATGATGTATAGGGAAGGGTGGTGCGAGGGTGGGGGACTGGTGTGAGCAGCAGTTAGGTTTATTTTTTCCTAAATGGCAATTTGGTTGAATGACAAAATCGTAATAAAAAGAAATTGCAAAATGGTGTGTACTGAGAGAATGAATGGTGTGCAAATAGAATTTCCCTTAGCAAAAGGAAGTTTATCGATTACTTCCCAAAGTCTCTAAAGTACAATTGTGAGAATATTAGGATAGCTCAACCAGAAATATCTCTACAATTTTTATTTTTATTTTTTTTTTGAAGAAAAAGAGAGAACAAAAAGAAGAAGAAAATATAGGCTATATTACCTCATTATCTGACACCAATTGATTAGTTCACATACACATACGTACATGCAGAGTATTGTAGACACAAAAGGGGGGGGAGGGGGGGAGGACCTAGAGAAGGATAGATGGAGAGAGTGTCACCATATGACTAAGAACCTAGAATCATCTCCTGATTTGATAGTTGCTTATGAAAATCTTGCCAAGGATCAAATTTCTTTTTAGCGCATCATCTCAAACAACTCTAAAAGGGAAACTTTTTGAAAACATAAGTTAAAAAATGGAAAAGTTTGGAAATGCACAAAAACATTTGGAAACATAAATAACACCAATCTAGCCGTATACATAAGCCTAATAGTAAATCAACTGAACATATTCGAGATCTATACATTCATTTTTTGCATAAAGGCACAAGTGTAGAATCAATACATTATTCAAGCCAAAATGTGATAAGTAATGTCAAATAAATAATGTAATCAAACACTAATGTATATGATTCTGAAGTTGCAAAAGATCACAATCAAACAAGGTAAAAAAATGTCGTCAAATTGGATGACCTTTTTGGGGGAAGGATAAATACACAAGTCTACAAAAATTTAATTAGAAAAAGGTCAAAATTTTAAATAAAAAGAGAAAATTTAAAATATTAGAGGAAGGAAAAGCATAGATTCCATAAGCAAAAGGAAGAAGAACCCTATCACCAAGACTCTAATGACTCAAACATTTTCCATTCTAAACACCCACCCCCCCCTCAAATTTTTTAATTTGTTCATAAACCAATAGAGAAATTTTTTTTTTAAAAAAAAAAAACCTAGGCTACGTTTGGTTTAGTTTTGGAATTGTGATTCTCTTTTTAGAGTTGTGATTTGAATGTGAAATTATGAGTTGAGTTTTGAAAAGAAAAAATTAGTTTGATTATGAATTTTGAAAAGTGTTTTGAAAGGAGTTTTGAAAAAAGTTTTCAAATTTTGAAAAGAGAAAATTTGTTTGGTTAAGAGTTTTGAATTGTATTTTGAGTTTTGAGTTTTGAGTTTTTGAATTTTGAGTTATATTTTGAATTTTTTGGATTTAATTTTTTAAAATATTAAAAAATGTTTAAAATAATTTTATATTTTTATTTTAAATGTATAATTTTTATTTAAATTTTTTTATTTTAAACTCAAAACACAACTTCACACTCAAATCGTAACCAAACACATAACTCAAAACTCAATTCAAAAATTATTTTCAAAACTCATAACCAAACACATTACTTGAAACTCTATACTACTTTCACAACTCTACACTCAAATCATACCAACACATAACAAAAATATTAAATATTTTAAAAATATATTTATAAACTAAAAAATATATTTAAAATAAAAATTATATATTTAAAATAAAAAAAAATAATATATTAATTTTTAATATTAAAAAAAATAGAGCATATAAATGTATAAAATATAGAACACATTAAAATAAAAATAAATATTTAAAAATATAGATATTTACCGCTAAAAAATAAAATTAAGAAAATTTTTAAATATTTAAAAAAAATAAATCCAAAAAATTTCAAAATACAACTCAAAACTCTTTTCAAAACTCATAACTCAAAACACAACTCCACACTCAAATCATGATTCTAAAAATAATTTTAAAAAACAAAATAAAAAAATATATTTTTTGAATTTTTTCTTTTAAAATAGAGCTTGAAAAAAGTTTGATTTTGAGTTTTGAATTGTGTGTTTGGTTATGAGATTTGAAATTAATTTTTGAATTGTGTGTTTGGTTATGAATTTTGAAAAGTGATTTGAAAATTTTGCCTTTGGAATCATGATTTCACAGCCCTAGATTCTTGAGATGTGTTGACACAACTCAATGTTGTGGCACATTTCAAAGTATTTTAGTATTTTTGGTGGAAATAGAATTTTGTTTTCTTAAGAAATGGAAATGTTTAGGACACTTTGATGGAAAGCTACATAATTTTATTCCTTGAACCTTGCATACAAGACCGATCAAATTCAAGATCACATTATAGATGTTTGCAAATTTACATGATGCCACTAGTCTTTGAATACAAAAAAATAAAAAAAAAATAAAATCCATCTTGATTTGCATTCGATTATGACCAAAACCTGATAAAGGTTCAAATCGAATGAGAATTCATCAATATGTGTTATGAAACTGAAATTTGTAATCAGTAATTTATGACATCAAACAGCATACTTGCTATTTGTTTCTGTATATGGAAACAGCTTCGGTGTGTTTGGTTATGAGATTTGAAATTAATTTTTGAATTGAGTTTTGAGTAATTTTGAGTTGTGTGTTTGGTTATAAATTTTGAAAAGTGATTTAAAAATTTTGCCTTTGGAATCATGATTTCAAAGGCAAACCAAACACAGTCCTAGATTCTTGAGATGTGTTGACACAAGTCAATGTTATGGCACATTTCAAAGTATTTTAGTATTTTTGGTGGAAATACTAGGATTTTGTTTTCTTAAGAAATGGAAATGTTTAGTGTCGGCTTTCCCAAGAAATGGAAATGTTTAGGACACTTTGATGGAAAGCTACGGAATTTTATTCCCTGAACCTTTGCATACAAGATTGATCAAATTCAAGATCACATTATAGATGTTTGCAAATTTACATGATGCCACTAGTCTTTGAATACAAAAAAAAAAAATCCATCTTGATTTGCATTCGATTATGACCAAAACCTGATAAAGGTTCAAATCGAATGAGAATTCATCATGTGTTATGAAACTGAAATTTGTAATCAGTAATTTATGATATCAAACAGCATACCTGGTATTTATTTCTGTATATGGAAACAGCTTCTGCATGGGCCAAAAGCTGGTGGTGCGCAACCAAATATGGCTCTGTCAATGCATGTTCACATCTTCCAGGGGCAAATATCCCGATCTCATATCCATTCACCGCCGTTTGAAGAGGTTCATTAATTGTAATCCAATTTTTTACTCTATCACCAAAATTGGAAAAGCAAGTTTCTGCATAGATGGCAAAGTATTTTCTGGACGTTTGCCACATGTAGAAGCCAAAGTGACCATTAATATGCAAAAAAATAAATATTATGGGATTCATAACCATGACAATAAATAAAAGAATAAATGTACCAGAGCTTCATGCAAAATATTATTTAAAATATTGACTTCGTTAAGGTAAAGTCATTATTGGGATTACTGTTGTCAAGAACAATTCTAAGGAAACGTTGTCAGACAAAACCAGTGAACTAAAAAGTGAAGAGAGTGAAGCAGTAAACAAAATCAACACACAGAGGCCTGCCATTTTATCAGAAAGAAAATAATATTACCAGAAGATGGCTGCTTGTGACATTTCTCAATATTGTAAAAGAGTTATTTGAGCATCTAGAGCTCAAATCATAGCCATTAGTTTTGGTAGATTTCGGAAGAAATTTATAATTATCATTTGGATTTTTGCTATGTTTTGTGCTGAGGTGCCGAATTCTAAGTTCTCTCAACTTTTCTCTCTCTTTCCCATTGTCTTGCATCGCCTTTTCTAACCAAGCAATAGCTACTACATCATTTTCATTTCATCAAAGACGAAAGCTTTACAAAAACGCACACATACACATTATTGCAAAAGAATTCAAACTACATTTCTTATATTGAAACTATGCAACAAGCAATAGTTACCACATCTTCATTTTGTGAAGAATGATAACTTAATTGAAAAAATATAGATAATGCAAAAAAAATAACAAAATAAAAAAATAAAATAAAAAATAATCTGTAGTTTCTTGTATTGACGTAAAGCATCAGTCAAAGGGGTTTCCACAGCTCTTTATTATGTGAGAACACATTCAAGATTAAAGTGGCAAATACATATTTAGTAACTTAGTTGAAGCATACAGAGGAACAATTTTGTGGAATTATTAGTCATTGCGAATCCATCAAGGGCACCATTTAAAGGTTATTTTCCGTTAAAGGCCCAATCATTCTCACTTGAAATTCTAAATCTCTTTCCCAATATTACTATAGTGATTGTCCTCTAGAATGAATGGAGATTCATAGTTATGCATTAAGTCATGAAAGATGGATGTGATTGCTATTATTTAGGCTGTCAAGAGAAGAAAAGCAGGAAAGTATGGAATTATTTTCACTCTACGATATATGGCAGCATTAGCATGCCAAGCTGTTCAGAATGGCTGGGGCCTGCCTCCTGGCTGAGGTTGAAAAGATGTGCGGAGTGAAACCTTGAGGTGACCTAGACTCCTAAAACCCACAGGACATAAACACTTGGCTCCCAGAGGGTATCAAGAAGGTTATCCTCAATTGGTTAAGTCCTAGACCAAAGCACTTATGAAGTGTCCTTGGTCCCTCAAAGTAAGTTCGATGTGACAGAACACGTGTCCTATCAGGTTGACACGTGGAGGCCTGGATGACGATGTGTAAGGCATATGTCATGTGCACGTAGTTATACAGTCTTAGATAGAACTCAACCCCAAAACCTAGCTATTGAGGTAAGCATGCCCCTTATATACTTCACATTACTTTAGTACCTAGGGAATGTGAGACTTTGCTTCACATGTGTCTATGACACATATTTACAAAAAATTTAAATGTCAAGAAAACATTCGCTGCAATTAACCTATATGCCTAAAGATATTAAAGACTCAAACCAAGCCTTAAGTCCTATCAAATGGGGTCGGTTACATGAATTAAAGACCCATGTCAAAATATTCAATTGGCATCAATAGAGGCAACATTATTTAGTTAATATATAGATGTTTGGAAACCAGACAATTACTTGATGACAAACAAGGACAGTACTTACACAACTTGCTCATTCAACCACCCTCCCATTGACTCATGAAGATTTAATGGAAGATCCCAGTGGTACAAAGTTACAAATGGCTGGATGCCTGAAAGATCATAGTTGCTAGTTATTTATTATTGTTGGAAGTAAACGGAAATGAACAACAAATGACTTCATACCCCTTTCAAGAAGAGCATTAATGACACTGTTGTAGTAAGCAATCCCTTCCTCGTTCATTTTTGTACCCAAACCATCTGCAAGCATGGAGAAAACCAAAACAACTGATTCACTACTCTAGTTTAAATCAATTGGTCATCATGAAGCAAAGGAAACAAAGAAATACGCACAGTAATGACAATTTCATTTCTTCATAATATACAAAAAACAAAAAGGACATATTATTACTTCATGTGTTTCATTAATAAAGAAGAATAGAAATGGAGGGAACAACTGGACTAGAACTAAAACATACATTATAGTAACTTTGCCAAAAGCATAGGGAGGGGAAAGCACATGAATCTTGATGGTGTCATTAACAGTAGCCTTGTTTGTAAGAGAGTGAAAAAGGAAGGGGAGTAGATAGATAGGCATCCATTCATAGAGCATTGTAACTTTGCGCTAGGAAGTCTAAAGGAGGACAAAATGCTTGATACTTCAGTAGTCAATTAGTCAAATCAGGCCTAAGATGTTAGGCCAAATATCAAATGCTTGATGGCCAATCAAATCAATACAATCCAAATCTCAATTACTAAGCCAATTCATAATCAAATCACAAACAATTAACTAGATCTAAAATGGCACCCCTTGGTGCCACCCAAAAGAGTATAGCGACCCAATTAACAAGCTCTACCGGACCAGAACCATTATATACAAGAAGAGGTTGGCAAATTTTCATCTGCCAAAGCAATGTATTTGAAAGAATAAAAGTAACACAATAAAAAAAGATCCAACAAGACCTCAACAATCAAAATGAAAACAATAAGTTAGTGCCTACAAAAAGTATCCAAAGAATGCACACCTCACATTTGATCCGAAAGGAAAATAAAAAGAAAAATATCTCACCTCTTGCCAAGAGATCTACCTCCTTATTGGTCAATGAAAATCTAAGGTAGCGTTTGGTAGAGTTTTAGAAATATGATTTGAAAATAGAGTTGTATTTTGAATTTGTGAGTTTTGGAATTATGATTTAAGTGTAGAAAATTTATTTGATTATGAGTTTTGAAATGAGTTTTGAGTTTGAGTATTGAATTGAGTTTTGAATGTTTGATGTGACATATAAAATAAAAAAATTTGTTTGGTTATGAGTTTTGAAAAGAATTTTCAAAACTTAATTCAAACAATTATAACTCATAACTAAATACACAAGTCAAAACTCTATTGAAAATTCTATTTAAAACACATAACCAAACTCTTTTTAACATTCAAATAAAAAAAATAAAAAATAAAAATTTGTCATTTTGGTGTAAAAAAAATAATTTTTATATTTAAAAAATATCAAAAACAAATATAATTCCCCCCCCCCCCAAAGAACAGGTGGAGATTGGCGATTGGCAATTGCAAAAAATAAAAAATATACACTGTTCCGGTCAACCAGCCGGCCAACCAGCCAGACGTCCAGGGGGGCATCTGGGAAGATGACCTAGTAGGCCCAAAATTCAAAAATCCTCTACTTTTCAGAATGGAGAACATGAAAGAGAGAGTAGCCAAACATGAAGGAGAATTACAATTTGAAATGTGTGGTGGAATCACATTTTGAAAACTCCATCCAAACATGAAATGCAAATGGAGGGATGGAATTATATTTACAGAACATAACCAAACATAGCCTAAATATTTTAAAAGCTTAGAAGTAACATTTAAAAAGGGGATATTACCGGGAAATATACGAGACCATGATATGGAAAAACGATATGCACCAAATCCCAACTTAGCTAAAAGGTCAATATCTTCCTGCATTTATTTTTAAAAAAATAAAATAAAATTAGCAATGCTAAGGATTAGAAAAAGGTCACATCTAGAAGAATTAATCAACACACCCAATTACATGCATAAATTATCCCTTCTAAATTAAAACAAAACCTTTACAGGAAACAACCATGTAGAAACTAGATCTAGATAGTTAAATTTCAAGTTTCGAAATCATGAAACATTAAAAATAATAATAAAAAAAAAAAAAGAAGCTAACAACTCATCCATGAGAAAAATTGAGGGAAAAATAAAAAAATTAAATCTATTGTATCAACAGCGAGAGTAGGAGTAAGGCCAAGTTTGGCTACAAAGAAAAAAGTGCACTTATTTCATCTTTTTATCTTTTTTGGGTCACATCAATCAACATCTCCTCTCTACTTTTTCTACACATAATACAAAAAAAGTCAAAAAGTGCACTTATTTAGTCTTTTCAAACTAACCTTAGATCTAGATAGTTAAATTTCAAGTTTCGAAATCATGAAACATTAAAAATAATAATAATAAAAAAAAAGAAGCTAACAACTCATCCATGAGAAAAATTGAGGGAAAAATAAAAAATTAAATCTATTGTATCAACCACTTAAGAACAAGCAATATTTAGTAAAAATATGCATGAATTTCATCAATTAACTATTTATAAATGTGATTGGTCACAGAAGTTACAGTGGCAAGACAAAATAGAGAGAACAGTAAAAATGTATTGCTACATTGAACCTCCATTATTCCATTCCAATACAAAGTTTGACCAACACAAAAAAATAAAAAATAAATAAAAAGAAGCCCTAATGACTAAATATAACCAAAGTACAAAACAAAATATGAATAACAAAGGGAAAATGTTTCTTCATATTTACATAGTCCAAAACTAAAGGGAGAACAAAACAACATTTATGAAAGTCTCATGCAAAGAGGGGGGGAAAAAGACAATATAGTAGTATTCACTCCTACCCAAAAGTCTGAACACCGACCTTGTAACGATGATATTGATCCACTGCAATGTCTCCATTACTTCCATCACAAATTTTTCCTATTAGAGCAAGAAAGTTAAAGAGCATAAATTTTAACAAACAAGCTCACCAGTGCCACATTCATGCATACAGCACTCGGAGGTCATTGTAATGGAATAGATGGCGTATGTATGGGTCTATAGGAAAGCATACCTGCAGTATGCGAAAAAGAATCCCAAATACTAGGACCTCTACCACCCTCATTCCAGGCACCTTCAACCTAAATTAACAAGAAGAAAGAGATGAAGTCCAAAGATCTTGAGGTTCGCATAATCTATAGGCTTTATAGGTTAGCTAACTGAAAAGTTATGTATTAGGCAACTTTCCTCATAACTTTTTTCTTTCTTACTAGTTTTTTTTTTTGTTGAAATTGAATGATACAATGCAAGTCATAGTATCCCTTCATCATGGATGGTTATTCTCTCTGAATTTATATTCATACCTTTAGGTAATTAGTTGGATTTTACACGAGTGTTTGCTCTGTGTCTTTACACATATATATAAAGTACATGAAAGGAGTTTTCTTGACAAACCGAAAAAACATATTTACATTCACCAAATTCAAACAATATTGAAGCGCAATTTGTGATAAGTGAAGATGGTCTGGGTAAACTATGAGTTGAAGCAACTTCATTGTGTTGTCAGTCACTAATAAGATAACTCTCAAATCAACAAAACTAAGAGGTTTGACATTAGCTTTTCTTTAGTGATTTGTTGTCTTTTTTTATTAGAATTTAAAAAAAAAAAAAATTAAGCCTGCGTTTGGTTGTGTTTTGTAATTATAATTTAAGAGTATGAGTTGTATTTTGAGTTTGTGGGGTTTGAAATTATGATTTGAATGTAGAAAATTTGTTTGGTAAAGAGTTTTAAAAATAGTTTTGAAAAGAGTTTTGATTTGAGTGGGAAATTGTTGATATTTGATACAAAAATTTACGATTCATAACTAAACATACAACTCAAAATTATTTTAAAGCACATAAAAAATTTTAAAATTTCAAAAAATATTTTTTTCGATTATATAAAAATTAACATATAAATTGCAAAAAAAAAAAATCATTATTCCGGTCAATCGGACGACCTGCCGGACGTCCCGTCAAGCAAAATTTAAAAAAAAAAAATTCTGAAAAGCGCGGCCACTCAGCTTTCGAAAGGTGATTCTAAAACACCAAACAAACATCAAATTCAAACTCTGGTGTAAAAAACTAGTTTGAAAACATAAACAAACAGAGCCTAAATATTTGCCAAACTCCAATAATAGCTTTGGATGAAAAGGGAATCCAGGCGAAAAAAATATAGAAAGACGGACAACGGCGCTCGCATGCAGTCACAAGACCAAACTACAAATTGCATATATATACACACGTACAGAGACAGAAACAGAGAGAAAGAGAGGATCAGAAATTAGAAAGAAAAGGGAAGGAGAGAGAGAGAGAGAGAGAGAGACCTGGTAAGCAGAAGTGGCGGAGCCGAAGATGAAATGGGGAGGGAAATCGGGGAGTGGTGGTTGTTTGGATAGGATCGATCCCCATTCTTCCTCTATTCCCCTCTTCCTCTCTGCTGCTCCTCCTGCTGCTGTATTGTTCTTCGCCATTCTTTTTCAGACTCCGATTTCCAAGTGAGATCAATGGGCGATGATGGGGATATAACTGTCGCTTGCTTGCTACGTACACGTACGCGTGTCCTCCTTATGAGCGAGAGCGAGTGAGATACGAGCAAGCCTCACGTTTTTATTTATTTATTTATTTATTTATTTTTAACGGTGATTAAGAACTCAACGATTACTGTTCTAATTTGAAGTCTAATGATGTGATATAACCAAAAAAAAAACAAAACAAAACAAAACAAAACAAAACAAAAAACAAATAAGTAAGTATAAACATTGCTTTATATGGTGGGTCTAATAACAAAACAAAACAAAAAACAAATAAGTTTATATGGTGGGTCTAATAACAAAACAAAACAAAAAACAAATAAGTAAGTATAAACATTGCTTTATATGGTGGGTCTTGCTATTAGAGCACTCAATTCATTTTATTTTTTGTTTTTTAATTTTAATTTATTAGTTTTGGTGATTTTTTAAAAATAATTAATTAACTTATTTGATTTTATTTTTTAGATCTGATACTTATAAATCTGTATTAAAAAAAAAAAAAAAAAAAAAACAAACAAACAAACAAAAAAAATAAGTATAAACATTGCTTTATATGGTGGGTCTAGCTATTAGAGCACTCAATTCATTTTATTTTTTGTTTTTTACTTTTAATTTATTAGTTTTGGTGATTTTTTAAAAATAATTAATTAACTTATTTGATTTTATTTTTTAGATCTGATACTTATAAATCTGTATTAAAATTTATAAAAAATTCATTTAATATAACAAAATACAAAAATGTTATGAATTTTTGTATTTCTTTTTTTTTTATTCAACGAAGTTTTTGAATTTTTTTTGCACAAATTTCGTACTTTTAAAATGTACCTAAATTAAGTGAATTTAAAATTTAAAAATTCCACTAAAAATAAAAAAAAAATATGAATTAAAAACTCAAAAAATAGTTTTTGAAAACTCAAAATTAAACAGATTGCTTATTGAACAATGCTTAAAATACCAAAAATGTTACTACATATTTGACATAATACTTGGTCCCGTTTAAGGTGAGGTTTTTTTTGCTAAAATAATCAAATGTACCTAAATTAAGTGAATTTAAAATTTAAAAATTCCACTAAAAATAAAAAAAAAATATGAATTAAAAACTCAAAAAATAGTTTTTGAAAACTCAAAATTAAACAGATTGCTTATTGAACAATGCTTAAAATACCAAAAATGTTACTACAAATTTGACATATAGTACTTGGTCCCCGTTTAAGGTGAGGTTTTTTTGCTAAAATAATCAAAAAATTAAAATACCAAATCATATCATTCTTTTCATTTAAAAAATTATTTTACAAGAATAGAATAGGCTTTTCATTTAAAAAAAAAAAAAAAAAACTCAACTAAAATAAATATTCTCAAACAACTCCTTGCTCGTGTGTGGGTCATATGAACCTAGAATAAATATTTGGGTTAATTGTTGAAGTCTAAGCTAAAGAAGTTATAAGGTATGAAGTTTAGGAGATATTTTTTACAACAATGATTGAGACCTTCTGTTTTTTGAGACCCTCACAACCCTTTTAGATCTCAACTATTGATGGTGTATGCCCCACACGTACATGAGTAGGTCCCACACATACATCAATGGTTGAGATCTAAAAGAGGTTGTGGGGGTCTCCAAAAAAAAAGGTCTCAACCTTTTTTCTATTTTTTATTGGGGAGAGATTTATTATTTGTGAAATAATTTAGCAAGAAGTTCTTTTGTTTGTTTTAAATGATATTTTGTTTTCAATTTTATCCTTTAATTATCTATTGTCCTTTTGTTGACTATCTATTCAAATTTTGACTATTTGTTCAGTTTTTTCCTTTTATCTGTTCAATTCCCCCCTTATTTGTTTAAAATTTTACTATCTGTTGAATTTTTTATCTATTGTTCAAATTTTTATCTATTTGTTCAAAATTTTAACTATTTATTCAAAATTTTCCCCTAATCTATATTATCTGTTCATTTTTTTTTTTCTGAATTCAACTTGTCTAAATTCTATCTGTTCAATTTAATTTTTTTTTTATTTGTTAAAATATGAAACTAAACAAAATCTTATATGTTGAGCCAAAACCAACCCCTATCTGTTGTAATACCAAGTCAAACCAAACCCTATTTGTTTAAATTTTTATTCATCTCCCCCCATCTCTTCCTCTCTACAACAACAAATCTACACAGATAGACACACACAAAAAAAGAGATACAAACAGAGAGATACAGTAAGGAGAAGAGATCATCTGTAGCAACTCTAATTTTTCGTAAATCATTATTTATTATTATTATGATTATTATTATTTTATTTTATTTTTGATTTTATTAATTGTGTGGTTACATGAGAATTTAATGTGTTATTTAATTAATTTAACGTGATAATTATTTATATATAATTAATCTGAATATTTATATTTATATATATATACGTCGTCGCTTTGTCACCTGAAAACACAAACGTGAGCTAGCCGGCGGGTGTGTGCCGGAAACCTCTCCGATGTCTAAGTCAGTAAGCTTAACAAATAGACAAAGCTTTGTGTATTCAGAAAGCAAAATTGTGTGTTACCTCTTCCAAAGGTGATGCTTGTGAGCTTTTATAGGTTTCGTGTGGCACAATCCTAGTAGGACTTCTATTCCTCCATGCAGAGTCCTCCTAGGATTCATACTCTTGAAGGATAATGTTTATCCTTCAACACCCCCCTCACTGCTTAAACCAAGTGAGATGGTTTTATCATGGCCGAACTCCAATATGACCGAAGTAAATATGTTCATATACAGACGAAGAGTAAACCGAACTAACTCTTCCCTTTATTGCTCTTACAGTGGCTCCTTATGCACAACCCAAAGCGTGGTCAGGCCGAACTAATATTTCGAGACCAGTGTAACTTCAAGACCGGTCTAATTCCAAGGAACCTTTAGACCGATCTAACTTCGATCTTCTACTGGATCGGTCTAGCTTCATGTCCTTAGGACTGGACTAACTCCAAAATATCGCACGACCGGGGTATCTTACATGGCCATTTCACTTCGGCCCTTTATACTGTGGCACATAACGGCTCATCACCTAGCTCGGCCCAATTTTCACATAAATTACCCTCTCAGGTTTATAATATAATATAAGAAGTCAATTAGATTTAGAAGTTAATAAGAAAAAAAAGAAAAAAAGAGAGAGAGCTGTGTGATGTGCGGCAAAGAGAGAGAGAGAGAGATTAATCAAAAAGAAAAGAGAGTGCAACAGAGAGAGACGGTGGGAGAGAGAAAGGAGAGAAAGAAAAGGGTTAGAGTTTTGTTTTGGTGACTTCATTAGTTCTTCAAATATTTTTTTGATCTTCAAAAAAATTATAGTAAGTACAAAACACACTTTCATTGATTTATATTTAATTCGTTATTTTTATTTATTTATTTGATGTTGGTTTGATTTTGTATTTGTATATAGATGATGAATTGATTTTAATTATTTTTATTAGTTGTGTATGCCATGTTTAGGGTTTTTATATAGATTTATTTTATGGTTGAAATCACACTCATAGGTATATGAAATTAAAATTAATTAAGAACCCGTACATAAATTCCTTATACTCCACTATGACTTCATGGATTGTTATTTTATTTGAGTGATAGTGAGAAAGGAGAAAGAATGTATAAGAAAAAAAAGTGAGAATTATGAAATTTATTTGAATGCCTTAGACTTGACATTGTTATGTTTGTTTTCATGTAGATAAGAGATTGTGTATATATATATTGTTGTCTCGTTCTCATGAGTAGACAAGTGTTTTGATTTACATGCATACGTATATGCTAACCATCCAAGGAGTGTGGGTCAAACTCGAGACAATATTCCCATGTAAGTTTGGCTTCAGAGCGGTGTTAGGTATACGTGAGACACATGGGATATATGTGTAGGTCGGAAGTAGAGGTCGAAGTGATGGAATTAAGGTACAAAAAATTTAATTATGAGTTTATTGGTATAGTGTGAATTGTATTGATTTGTATATCTTGAAAAATAGTAAACGACCTCGATAAATTATGAAATTTGGGCAGAGGCATGTATACGTAATTCTAGACAGCTTTTGTATTTTAACTTTGTACTAAAAAGATTGATTAGAACTTGTAATCGGATGATCTTAGTTATAGTAGTTTTTATTCATTTTAGCAATGCAAATTTTAGAAATTGTTTTAAGCCATGAAACAAGCTCAATTTTATTGGTTTCGCACAAACTGAAGTAAAACATTATTTTAAACACTTTTCGTGTTTTGAACTTTTCCGAAAAAATTCATCTTAAAGTAGTTTCTTTTCATTTTCAGTTCTAGATTTTTTTGATCGAATTTTGTTTAGGATTTTTTATTAAGGGGTTGTTTGGAATGACCTAAATAAGTGCACTTTTTGTTTTTTTACGAAAAAATGTGCAGAAAAGTAGAGAGGTGATGTGATAAAAAAAGATAAAAAGATAAAAAGATGGATTATTTTTAAGTTGCCAAACTTGGCCTAAGTTTTTTTTCTCTCAACCTGTTCAATTTCTATTAAATTTGTTTGTGTAACCTTTTAAAAAATTTGATTCTTTACAACTTTTGTTCTTTGAGTTTGGTTAATTCGAATTATTTAAGCATGAAACGGTGCATTTTTATACTTCTTTAGCAAGTTACTTATGATTAAATTATACTAATTTTATTTTTTTATAGAATGGTGGGTCTTACTAATTTTTTTTTTTATGTAGGGCTGACGCACCATATTTTTATTTTGTTTATTTTATACTAAATTTATATTTCGTTGTGTATGGGCAAGAAACTAAATGCCAACGTATCTCGGGAAACTATCCATTCGTCTCGGTGCGGATGAAACTACTTGCCTGGTGGACACTTGGGTGTTAAATCTTGTACTCATACCAATATACCTGTATACTGACCCATTTTGTCTCTTGACAACTTGGGTGCGTTCTATTTGAGCGCAGCCGAGCTTCTTTTGCAGAATTAGTTGGGGCTACGGCAGTGACGTGAAATAATTATAATTGTTGGACATGTCTCTTGGATTTCTTTTGTTTTCTTGAGCTTAAGGTTGATATTAATTTATGTATTTA